TATCTTTTTTGAACATCAGGGATTTGTTAAATAAGGTCAGTTTGACTGCTGATGCCGTACTAAAACTGTGATGAACAGAATGCCCATTTAGTAGACCTGTAGCGTCATACACTGCCCCAAAATCAATAGCCTAGGGTTTGACGACTTCGATGCTGACCTTGATAGTTTAACTGGACTCGCTAAGCTGAAGGCAACCGGTCAAGCATCCTCGCCATTTGGCACGCTGTCGTGTTACGTTGCATTGCTCGTATTCGACTCTCTAGCCAGTTAGTTGGAACGCATCGGTATTTTGGCATAACCATCCAAATATACTATTCCATCCGACTACGCTATCGTGTTCTTCCTTGGTCTCGTATTCGTGGGTATATAACAAGTTCGAATAATTACTGATTGGTCTTTGCGTCTGTCAAGTTCGCACCAGGACAAATCCTAAAAACCGAACAAAGTTCTGTCGGTGATTGGTCATATACTCATTCCCTTTTTTAATCAAAGCTACGCCTACACGTTTAGCTACAATCAGCAGAACTCTTCAGTACATTTGGTAGCATTACTGGAATCCAGTGGTTCACCAGTGCACAGAGCACAGTAACCGACATTCTTATGAAATACTAACATCTGCGTGCTTCATAGATCAACTAAATGATTAGCATAAACTCCATGAATAGCCTGACTATTCAAAAAACATAAATTCCCTTCCTTCTGTAAAGATATGAGTGTGTTGGTGACGCACACATGGGTCAAGTGATATGCACATAGGTCCGGATATATGATAATCTACCATCAAGAGTTATGAAAAATACGTACTGTTTTCCTTCATTATTTCCTACCATTCCTACGACGAAGATGTACAATATGAAAACAGAGGACAAAAATGAAGATAATGATGAGGGCGAAAAAAGGGCACTCATAATATAACGAAAGATAAGTCGCATTTAGAATCAAGAGGTGTATAAATCCTGAGAATTACTAATAAGGAGTACTTGTACAAAACCAAACTTCAGAAGTATTGCAAAATTTAGACGCACTTCACTGTGGTCACGATCTAGGAATGAATCAACCAGCATATCAGTATCACATCAGTGAAGTAAAACCTGAGGTTGTTTGGTACTTTATTTCAACACCCATTGGCGGTGTTTTCATCTGCTCAAGGTTTGCATTCATGACTCTTAAGTGATTTCCCTAAGACAAATTGGAGGTACATGTTAAGTATTTCGTTACGTCCTTGTACATACATACTAACCGGTTTGTTGAACTGATCATATTTTCTGTATGACAGGAGTATGTGACCCAGTCGGCAGATAGGCCAGCTTGTATTGAAAAGCGATAGAAACAGGTTATCCACGGTATTAACCTGTTAGTTTCATTACCATCACTTTGATTTGTCTTCGACATACGCGCTTATCCTCATATCCTACTCTGACCTCACGTAGCTAACTGAAGTTGAAGAAACACTACCATTTTTTGAATTTCTATATCCCCATACTTTTACCAAAACTGTACCAGACTGTATAGACTTTTTAAATGGATCTTTAATTCAAAGTGACTTTTGTCCTTTTCCGCATTTTGTACATTAGAGTTTGTTTATCTTTACTAACCAATTCCCTTGGAATCCAGTTTTGAATTTTGCGTTGTTGGTTGTGTGGGAGTTTACTCTGACTCACTCTTACAATGTTCCGTTTGTTTTGCCAACACCTACAAGCGGTCCTGGTAAATTGTCTCTAGAGACTTTTACGGGAAACCCATCTCTTTTTTAAAACTCATAACCAATCTACTCAACGATAGTATTTCTCGAGTTTCGTCTTTGCCATATCAGTCGACCATTCAAAGACTAAATCTGCAGCATGAGACTCAAAAACCCTTTTTTCTAATGTCTGTTTTTGAATGTATTAAATGTGTTTACTGACTTTGCGAGTTTATTTTCGTTGCCCCTTATAGTTGCGTTAGAGGCTAGGTTTAACAAAGACGTAATATTCCATGATAATTGTTTCTGGATCTACTACACAGTTATTATCCTTGCATGAAGAAGTAGTTTAAAAATCATAACTTTATTCCAAACACGATGTTTTACACAGTATGGAGTTACCGGCACGTAACATTTTAGCGAGTTCACTACCAAAACAATATTTTCATCGGAATGATGTTCATAATATCAGTATTAAATGCAATAGTGTGGAGCAGCCAACTGGTTTTGGATTGGGTTCCGGTCTAGAATGGAGAGTGAATGGAAGAGGTAGCGTAAGTTTGAAGATGGCGATCCATACAGTCAGTACAAAAACCCGTAATTCGTGATAGGTATCCGAGAAATAGAAATATGGTACATTTCCATGCATTTAAAAAGTTTTTTCTACCTAACATGACATTTCCCTTCTTTTTTATGAACTCGAGAAAAGGCAGGTCAGAAGCGTTTTTAAAATGCGCAGGAGTACATGATACGTTCGGAATACATATTTAGAAGATTAAAACAAACAGGAGGGGAAGGATTTCATATATTTCTAGTAGAAAATTTTATTGCTACCCCAAAGTTCAGGCTGGCAACTATATGAAAGTTTATATGGAAAAAAAGCTGAGTGCTGGTGACTTCATCAGCAGAAATCTGAGAACAGATACGAAGATTGCTTCCCTACCGTTAATTCAACCTTATTATTGTCTATGAAAAATATTCGAATGACGATAGAAGACGGCGTAAAAACACGCAGTATTAATTACCAAAACTGTTTCCTACTTACTTAACTTTTTTCAGAACTTTGTGCTAATATCCTACGTACTAATACTACATTGACATTGGAACCAACTTTCTTTGCATTAGTTGTTAGCCATCACAATAAATTAACTTTTCAAATACTGTGTCGTTTTTCTCCGTTGTTATCGTACATTTTTTTGAAGTTTATCGGTTAGGATATTTTAGGAAATAAGGCCTACTACATCTTAGCTGTATAGAGCTGATATTCGCCTACATGTGTTTACTAAAACAATGTCTCAAAACAAACACTGTTGTGTAGACAGAATCACAGGAAACTGTTTAAATCCTGAAAGTGTGCATCATACTTTAACAACGGTTGGTAGCTTATAACTCAAAAAAACGTAGTGTAGTCACCATGTGGTAATTTTCAGATTTTTGAGTTACCTATCGAGGTCATAGTTGTGCAGACCCATTTGACTGGGTTCACAAGGTGTGCTTATTCACCGTATACGTTTATGCACTATATCGAATAAGTCAGATAAATTATAAGATAGCCGCTGATGACCTAATCGTGGTTGGTATGCTGGTTATGCATTCAGGGCATGAAAACCGGTAGTTGAAATTTTCGGGAGAGATTACTGGAACTGTCTGTGGTGTAAATTCATACACCATTAAAACAACGATGGTCTCACTTTTATAATTCTTCTGTCCATTTGTTCTCGAAGCATTCTCTCCACCTGAAATCACTGTAAAGCACGAAATTTTGTAAGCAGCCTAACATAAGTGAAGACTCACATGTAGTGTTGAATTGAGTGCTACTTATAAGAATGCACATAAGTAGTTTATGTCGAGAGGTCGGAAGAATTTACAGGCAATTACGAGCGATTGATAAATATTCTGCCTAGAGAAGCGCAAAAAAACCGTGGCTGTATCAGTAGCTAGACGCGATAGAAGATGAACTTAAACGTATTGTGCAAACTGATATTTCAGAGGAAGGTTATAATATTTTATCAGTAGTGTACAAATCCCAATAATCAACAATCCTTTAGTGATCCACCCTTCTTCCTCCGCATTACACTAAACGCATTAAGACGTGCAGAACCAACCCCGATGTACATGCATACTGTAACGAGTAAGAGACAGAAGACAAACACGACGGAAAGAAAGTTTATCATGTAAAATCTGAACGGTAGTCGTTACATATGGTACACCTTGCACTAATCCAGTCATTTGCAAACGTCTTCGTTTCTTCTCTTGATTTGCTCTTCATACATTTTTGTCAGCTGCATCCAATGTAATTCGCCTGCATTATCTCTTGGCAGAAACTCTACCCATTGCTGGTAATTCCTTATGATTCCTGCCACCCTCTCAATATATACTACTTATATCCATTGTTTTCAGCAACGCCCACTGCAGTTCGACTATAAAATAACAAAGTGGGGATTTATGAACAGTGTAATGAAACAAGAGTTAGTCACTTAGCGTCAACATAGTACAGAGCATTTCTGAGTAACTGTTCAAGTTGCCACAGGAGTGTAAACAGCAAGGTGTCTCATTGAGTGAATGAATACCTCCTGGGTATTTGAAAGAAACCTAGAATCCCCAGAAAGATTTCACAAGACAGGCCAAACACCTGCAGCTGCAGATAATTCCCCAAAGTCAATAGCCTAGGGTTCGACAAGATTCAGCATGGATGCTGATCTTAATAATTTTAACGGATTTGTTAAGCTGAAGGCACACGGTCAGGAATCCACGTCACTTGGTACGTTGTCGTGCTAAGTTGAGTTGCTCGTATGACATTCTCTAGGTAGTTAATCGAAACGCATCGGTATTTTGGTAAGGCCGATCATATATACTATTCCATAGGACTATTCTATTGTGTTCTTTCTTGGTCTTACACTCGTGAGACTAACCAATGATGGACATTGGCCTAGTTCGCTTAAGATCGTTTCCTAAACATACGCGGAAAACCACATGATCATACGTATGAGATTCAGACTAGCTAAGTATCTTTATAGAAAGGTGTAGATAATATCAAGGTAGTTGCAAGTATATGTGCCATTACTTTTATAGATGTTTCAACTTGACATAAACCTTTTGTCGTTTTTGGCACTTTATGTTTTCGTGGAACCGAACGACCCCTAAGGGTGAAGTTTAATGTCATTGTTCAGGAGTCTATACACATATTTGATCAGAATATATCAGTATATATTGGAAGTAGTTCATACTTTGCCATTTGTGGAGAAGTATGAAATAATAGCAATTGAATCTACGTGGTATTTAACTACGGCTTTTTTATTGGCTTCGATATCTGTCATGTTTTTAAAATACGCTCATCCAGCTTACAGTATTATTTCTTCACCTTTGGGGAAATGTGATTTAGACGCTCAATTTTATACACTGGGGGTGCTTGGTTCGAAAAATAATCGATCTACTCCAGGCTACGCAATCAGGTAAAATTAAAAACCCTTACACAAAGTGCGGTTTGCAGCCTAGCAGATCCATCAGTGCTGCATCACTGATTTGCAAAATAATACGGTTATTTTTATTCTGCTCGTTACACTTGAAATGCTGATGTATACTACTGAAACTAGAACTCATGAACTACTATCATACGCCTTCGTTTTTTTGGTCACCTAAAAATGGTCAAGAACAACCTCCTCCATGGTGTAATTCACTTGATAGTGGCTAGCAGTAGAATTCAGGATGGGCGTTTCGTCCTATTTGCGATTCATCACCTAGTGTACCTAAATCCCAGTGAGTGATGATATTTCCACTGAGACTCGAATCCAGCAGGCCGTCACTAGGATGCAGGTGCACCTTGGATTCCACCACTCACCACAACCCAGCAAACTGCACCAAAATGAAATTTGACGCAATATCGGAGCATTCATCCAAGGAGTTGATATACCTAACAGAGATCGATCAACTCAGTTCATTGAAATAATGAACGGGAAATCACAAACAGCAATAAATAGCCTCATGCATCAAACTAGAGACAAAGATAAGTTATTTAGAATGAAACACTAAAAAACCATCAAATTTTAATAAATCCCTATATAGTTCAGCAAAATGTTTTTCAAAAATTATATGTAGTGAGGAAATGATTAATTAGATATTCAATATAAAAGAACAACAAATTCATCGTTACTCTTGAGACCATGAAATTTATATGAAAAATATCTAAACACTGAACCTGAATTAAAGCGGTACCATGTAAGAAAATGTTTGAACAACCAACAATCATCACAAAGTAGAAAAATAATTAGTCGGGCAAGAATATGAAAAGTAATTCAAAGTTCTGCTTCATCTGGCAGTTCAGAAGTGAAAGCTTCACGATTTTCATGCGCCCAGAATCCTTGAAGATCAATCAGTATGCTCATAACGGTATCTCCTTTACCACTAAAAAAATTTTAAAAAATATATATAACCATATCCAAAAAACACAGATGTAAGCAGTAAGGATATGGATAAAAGGGAAGTTAGTGGAAATCAACAAAAGTACTTTAAGATTTATAAGCATCCAGATCATAGTTGTTACGAATGTCATGAAAATAATTAGTTCCAAATCAACCTTCTTAACAAATTGACATTGGATGAAGAGACTTTGATCTCTGGCATGAAAAAAGAGGCCTATTTTTACTTTCAGATGAACCATTCAGGTGACATTTATCAATAAATACGCTTAAAATTCAGTTGTTTGAACACAGTAGGAAGGTCCTTAAGATTTTATCACTGAGTACTCTTTCTTATCCTAGATGTGATTGAGCTAATAAGTTGCAGTAATTCACATGAAAGTTTTTTCAAAGCCATTCATGAAGGTTCTAAAGTTATCGCTACAGACAAAACAACTATCCGTTGAAGTTTATAAGTCGACATAAAGTGGACAGAAAATTGAAAAATACTGTCCAGTATGTCCCAAGAAAAACTGTATTTATCAAGTTACCATACACTAGTGATGCAAATAGCTTGATAGTCAGATAGAGACTTAACGCTACCATCAACAAAACATACTATGTAGGTAAGGTAAGTGAGAGGTAGAAGCCAATATACCCATCGAATTCGTTGGAACAGGTGAAAAATGAGGTGACATCCCGATGTATTTACCAATTTACATGTACGTGTTATGGTCACACATACATAGGAAGGACTCATCGGTCATTGAATATGAGGACCACAAAACATATTCCAAAAAGACTTAAGAAATAATTACAGTCACCTGACCCAATTGATGCTGGATCCATATGCTTGAGCTTCTAAGTAGCTCAACATATTAATGAGACTGGGCATCAAAATGGATGTACAAGTGTCATTTAAGCCCATCTACAAGACTTGTTGGGAATGTATCTTAGTTTGTTGAGACATTAGATGCTAGGAAGTTTAGAGCAGCTTTGTGTTCGCAAATAATTCAAATTTGTTCCCTTAGTTATTGATGTCTATATGTTAAATAAGTATTGGGAATTGGTTTCAACAATAAGTTGGACTAAATTACTCATATTTTACACCGGTAGCTTGACCTAGAAAATGGTACCGAAATTTTCAATCTAATGTGTATGCGGAAGACTTAGAGTACACAAAATGAATTCAACCTATTCCATAAATTTTTTTCCTGCGTCGTTGCAAGTCAATGAAGACTATATGAGGCATACAAGACTGAGCTTATCAATTTATCATAGTTTATTTGTGGACAGGGAATTTGCTGATGAAAAAGTTAAGTAGCTTTCAGTTCATATGAAGGATAAATTCTATACGATCTCCATGATATTTCATATGTATTGCAAATTGTCTTAGAAGACTAGTGAATACAACTTCGGTCTGAGGCGATGGACGCTGGATTCGAATACCCATGGTAACACCACTCAATGGAAGGCAGGCACTTATAACTGACAGCGTCCAAAATAAGAAGAAACACATTTCTTGGGTTCTACCACTGGCCCCTATTCTCCATTAGTTAAAAGCTTAAACCATAGACAATATCGAGGCATCTTCACAGAGCACTGAATTGCCACCGATCACTGGTCCAATGACCAATGTTAATCTACGAGCTTTCATATCACCACTGGTCTCAAATAGTTAAAATTTGTTGAGGGAACCAAATGCATGAATACGTCATTAATTAAATTTATGACAGATATATCTGCCATGAACCCATGATCACACAAATCATTGGAATTACTCATCGATCGCAAAGATATCTATAATAAATTGATTTAATCCACATTGAATAAACAGCTCATGGGTACGACGCCACTGACTGTTTAGCCACAAGAAGGGGACTTTAATAATTTTGTAGGCTATCTATGCATATACGACGATACTTAACACTGAATTCCACTGTGATCCATTTTCTCCAGGACTTCATTTCAATATGTTAGTAGGCCTATTGAAAAAATTACTAGAAAAAACCATAATTCAGATGACGAGTGGCTTAAAATCCACCCTGATAAGTACCGAAATAACCAATCAAGTTTCGATATTCAGCTTGGAAGGTAGTCTTCCATAAAATAGAGAAATGTAATTGGTTATCTCATCAGTGCTCGAGTAACCTTTAAAGTCAATCCAAATAACAATCATCCTTGCCACTCTCTCAGTATGACTGCAAGTAACACTGCTTCACAAGTCATACTACTGACTTAGGTTAATAAAACAACACAAGCAAAGTTATGATGGACCAGAGAATAATCTAATTCTACGTTATATTTTTGTTATCACTTTAATATAATAATTTACATGGGATCTTACAGCTTGGGAGAATGATATCGCCGAAAAGAGTGATCCATTGGGTCAACATCTTTTATTTTTAACGCTATCTTACATTTTTATACATAATAAAAATCAGCTTTAACTGATTTATCTCAAAATTTAAATACTGACAAACAGTCAGTAGCATTTGCAGTCGTTCAACAGGTGACTTAATTTTGTTTAGATTCAGATTTATTTGATATTTGTAGAAGTCTTACACTGTTTTGATACAGTTTCACAGTCACAATCTCACTCCCTTAGATAAAAATTCATTAAACTAGATTATAAATAGCAAGCACCTTGACAATCAAATAGTCACAGCAAGATACACCAAAGTACAATAGAATCTAAGATGAACTAGACTCCATTATGGCGGATATCCACTAACCGACTGTATTTAAATTATTCTTAAGGTTATTCATAACCCTTGCTTACTAAAATCATCTAATAGCTTTTATTGTTCATAAGATCTGAACATATTTGATGTAGATATATCACTGTTAACAATTAAAAAAACGATTTTACCTAGTATATCTACAGTAATTAAAATTGTTATTTTCTTCTAAGGAAAAAAGAATGATACTACCATTTCATGAAAAGTGGATTTGAAGACTGGTTAGTGACAATTGAAATAACCAGTTAGGGTTATTTATTTCATGAAAACTAGTCCTCGTAACGTCAATGTTTACCAACTAATCTGAGGTAAGATGGTTGATGCAATTGTGAATTTTTATCAACGTGGGTGGTTTGAAACAAATATGTTACACATGCCTAGTCACAACCATCCCTGACGCATAACGCTAACTGACATAGGCTCCGGTTGTAAAAATGTTTAACATGGTAAGGTTGTAACATTTCATCGGTCCATGAAGTCTCTAACTGTTGACTTGAGCTATGTCGAGGAATGTAAATTTACAGGTCGGGAACCTCATAACAACCGAAATAAATGGTTGTAGATCGTGAAATAGCATTCATTGGCCTAATCTAAGTGACATATTCATTTCATTGAATTTTATGATTTATAATTTATTGACCCAAAATACTGAAATAGTTCTCTTCTCTTACACGGTGTAATGAATATAACTTTCCCAAGTATATTCTCATTCATCTACTACTCAGAGACTAATTGGGGCTAACATGCCTCGAAAACTTCACAAGAAATGTGCGAATCTTGGATAACTTCTTCCATCACTCGTGTGTGGAGACTTGAACCGTTACGGAGTAATGTGACGTCCGGATGTCAGTGTTGACTGACTCACCCGTTGTCTACGTACATCAACTGTTAAATAACTATATATCTTACATGTAGTTAAAATTGCTAATTTTATTTCACTAAGATACGGAAAAATTAAACACATCCATCAACTTACCAATTAATTAAATCATCTAGGGTAATGTAATGGGGATTAGCTGGTCGTACCATATCAAAGATTTCATTCAAAACATTATCGAAACTCGGCGGATCACTATCAGTAGCACGTAGTTTTTCTTCAATCCCATCATAGAAATAACGCAGAGTCAATGAAGTCAGTTTACCCTGACCACCGACATCAAGAATGCGAAATAGGAAAGCAATTGCCTGCGGTTCGTGTTTATTCTCCATAGCAAGTACCAAATCTAAGTAAGTTTTATAATCCTAGTAAACGGATAGTGAATAAATATTCTGAATAAAGAATGGCTTTATGATAGTGAATCATTAACAAGATATGCATACTACTGAAATAATAGAATGATTTGTGGCTAACGATGAAGAAGACAAGGAGAAGGATTATGAAACAGAGAACAGTAAATTACCTGAAAACAGTAAGCGGACTACTTTATCCCACATTGAGAATGTTCCAGACTGTCAACCAGACACTTGGTCCTTTCAGGATTGGAGAAAAACAAATAAATGAGTGTAATGCATCTTAAACCCAAAACAGAACTGGGTGCCAGGTGATGAACAATAGTTACTCTGTGAAGGTTTATGAAGCTACTTCGTCGACGAGGCTGAACAGATGAAGAGAAGTTTGAGCTTAGGATCAATTGCTTGAAAATCAGGAGCCTAAGCCAATAAATCATATCTCCGATCAGTATGGAAGTGACGCACAAGAAAGCTGCTACAAATCAGGCATTCACATGATAATGTAGTCAACAGACAAGTGGATATATACTTTGTCTACTTAAGGAGAAAATGACTGCGAATAATTAACTTAAAATTGACAAAATCATCCAATTATCAATTAGCATGAGAAAGAAATAATACAACATATTAATTGATCACTGAAGAGTTGTCACTTTTATGTTATATGGTCTTAAGTGCTGACAGAATTCTATCAATCATTTTGATGAAGTCACAGATACTCATGGTAACATCCATCAGAACGTATACAACAAAGTTTACCAAGAAGGATAAGGGAAGACACCGCCGGTTTAGTTGATCTTAGATAATAACTCTCCGTTAGCCCTTCCGTGGTTGCATGAGTTCGAACAAAAAACCTTGATTAGTATTATATATTCATTCGGTAAAGTCAACTATGTTAGCTCTTATTCGATAAAAAAATCCTGAGTTTGGAATCGAATGAACTTGTTTACTCCAGTATGGGCAGGTATTATTGAGTTACAATGGAACTTCCCTTGAAGTAGTTATGGTTCGTCGTACATTTGGTTCAAAGTAGAAGACTGGAAGACATAAGTTTCAACGATACGTTCTGCTGTTCAATGTCATGTTTTTCTGACAGAATTCCCTGTGTATACACAGTAGTATTTAACTTTACTTTTAAAGAGCAAAAGCTTTGGAAGTGCAAACAAAATTCCCAAAGCAGATCATGTGATTTATTCATAAATTCACGTATTCGTCGGTTACTGATTCGTTCGAAGAACCCTCTAGTGTCTACATTGTGAGCTTTGTCGGGAAACAAGTAAATCAAATTGTCTGAATGCAACAGCCTCTTTTACAGTTCATGAATTAGTGAGTCAGAAAGTTACAGTTTAAGATAATCTAACTGATTTAACAGATAGTTAACTTTATAACATAAAGTCTTGTTGACGTTTGGCATTTAAAAACCCATTCTATCTCATGTTTACGATACTGGCTTCTGAAGATTTCAAGAGGTGTTAAGCAACCGTATACATCCTGCACCTGGGATATGGTGGCAATATGTGGATGACACATCTACTGTGTTGAAATCAGAACACATTGACAGATTCCTCACAGATATAGACTCAGTAGTAGGTGCGATTCAGTTCAATTACGAGGTAGAAAATGAATAAGGAGAATTACCTATATTGGACATCAAAATAAAACAAAGAACAGACGGTGGCTTGGATAATATAGTCTATAGGAAACTGAAGCATTCTAACAGGTATATAAACTTCAGGTCATCTCACTCCATGTCAGCCAAGGCAGATCTAGTCAAATATCCAAATAACAGAGCCAGAAAACTCACTAGCCAGTACAAGGACATGAAGCATATAAAAGAAGCGTTAATAATTAATAATTATTCCCTAACATTTGTGAAGAAATTCGTACAGACAAATAAGAAACGAAATAATAACAGCAATACGAATACGCATAATAGCAAATGCACGAGTAGAGATAAGTTCGAAGCCTCCATTTGAGGAAGTGAGGAAGTAACACCCGAAACTTTAAGTAAGGATTCCCAATAAGGCTGGAATTAGGGTGGCATATAAATCCACAAAGTCGGTTTACGGACCCGATAGAACCAATTCAACAAAATAATTTAATCTACCAAATTCTATGCAATGACTGTGAAGTCAAGTACATGGGTCAAACTAGACAGCCGGGGTCACTTAGATTAACTGAACATTAGAAATTTAGCTAAACATAAAATAACAGATCCCAATAAGGTCAATAATCTAGAAAAAACTTGGCTATTGCAATGCATGCATTAACACAACTACACAACAGGGTGGAATAAAACCACTATCCTTAATTCCAATATAATTAGATAGACAGATTGATTACTGAATCTTTATTTATCAAATCAACACCTAACACAAGTAGTGAGAATGATGCAATACCTACACCAAAGATATGGAGAACTTTACTGCCAATAAAAACAAAGAATATGAGGTGGCAAGATTACATAACTCTGTTGCTGAAAATGGTGTAATGGAATTGATATGATTAAGAGCAGTAATTTATGCTTGAAACGTCATCAAGTAAATAATACTGTATCACTGTGTGCTACACATCAAATAAACAAATTTAATATGGAATTACATTCAACCGGTGTCCAAAGGTTTACACTATTACTTACCATTTCACCTTCATAAGTTAAGCACTCCTGAAACACACGATCAAGAAATACATCAGTTAATGTCCCATTGCCAAAACTGTCGCCAAATAAATGTATAAAATAAGGTAACATTTATCAGGGTAAAGCAGACTAAGTGTAAAATGTGTGTTATGAATGGAAAAAAGAAAAGATCACAATTTGAAACAGTTTAAATAATTAAACCTGTTATAAGATTATAAGAAACAATGGTTTTTATTAACCTTTAAACAGTCAGACAGTAACTTTGATCTTTCATAAACCCTTAATGCATTTTCACATAGTGCTGGAAAAGTCACCTAGCCTACTGATGAAACAGCCATGATCAAAGCCTGGAGGGTAGATGGTATGTTAATGTGCCAGGCTTTATATGATTATGGAAGGTTCAGTGGTATAAAGTTCTAAGCTCACTTAAAAAACAACGCAAGTGAGTAGAAACAGAAATCACACCTGTGTGTGCACTTACTAAATAATACAGCCTTTTCTTAAAAGACATTTAGATATCCCACCTAAGCTTAAGTAGTTTCAGTTGGTTTCTTACGAAATGATCTTCAGAATAATCCATTTGTATCCCTCGACAAAAAATTTGTAATAAATTAGATTCCTCAATGTTATTTTTAGAGGCAAATAACATTTGGACACAGCAACTTTATACATCCTTAACTGATATAGTAGAAGAGTTCTTTTCTAAAATCATTTAAAGAAGAGTAGCGTAGCATGTGAGTAGTTCACATGTTCGGAGTAAATTGATCTATAAGCTAGGGTTTTTACTTAACAAATATTTCAATGTCATACCAGACATCGTTATCAGAGATTCAAAAGGAAGTGTAGCAATTTGTTTGGTACATTTATAACGTGCTACTTTGCCTGAGTATAATTTGAGTGGTTGATTAGTGAGCACGTAGGCATATGCTGAACCCAATTGGTTGGACTTCCTCCCTTTAGTTTGTTGACATGAGTGGAACTATGTTATTGGTAGATCTGTTCTGTTTGCTTGCAGTAGACTGAGGTCGCTTTGCTGTGATTGATTTGCTCTTTTGTTCGATTAAATTAATGGTCATCTTGCATGCATGACTGCTTGATTTTTTTCGATGACAGGAATTAGTCGATCAAAATGCGAGAAAGTCTTTGAGGCAAACAAGAGGAGGATTATCGATCAACCCGATCAAGATAACTCAAGCACAACTCACCAGACTGTTGGACTTAAGCAAGCAATACAAAATCTGCTTCTCCAGTAAAATCTAACTAACTACCAGCAACTAAGAATACCCCTCCAGTTGAAACAAAGCAACCAATTAGCCCAAAGTATCCTCTCTTCAATATATGCAAGCCAACCCAATCAGACCAAGACATCTTTCATCACTCCGATCAAACAAGTGTCAACCAATCGGAACAAGGCGACCCTCTTCAACTGATTCAAACAGAAAAAGGGGAATCAAACATGACGAGTTGACGGACTGCAGGTAAACAAAATAAATCACCGAATTACATAGCTCTACATCCCTCTGGGAATACTAGTTTGACTGCCATCAATCTTCTTCCAGCCTAAACATACTTTGGTCAACATTACGACAGAGCAGACGGCGAACACGAAACTGTAACAAACGTCCCAGCCACCTGAGTCAATGGAGAATCATAACCTCCTCAACTGACTTCCTCTTCTACCTAAAACTCTATAACTGACTTCAATATGACTGAAGTAGTGGCACCATGACGAGCTTATATTACGAAGGCCATGGTGATCGAACACCAGAAGCCTTCTCATGTCCTCCACCTTTAATGATCATCCTTCACAACTATATAGTAGGACAGAACAAACCATAGCGCAGTACACCCAACCCTTCGTAGACAATCGGATATCCTGATGGTACGATAAATAGAGTTAACATACAACCGAGTCTTTTGTACCCGTACACAGATTTCGTCAGCCACCTACCCACCATGGCTGATCCGACTTCCAAAGTAAGTGAAGTGGCTAACGAGCTCAAATATTTTACTCCTTACTTTAAGACAAAGCGCTACTGAAGGCTAATCCTAAAGAAACAATTTGCATTTGAGTGGTGACAAACGCATCCCGAAAGTTCTCAAATTGGCATAAATACGTCTATGATAAAGTTCAATAAGAACTGAGAGAGTTGAAATCCTAACGGACATCACTCGAAGTACACAACTCACCATAGGCTCTAACACACATGTCCGTGTATCCACCAACCTTTCCAGTGAGATACACTGCAGCAAAATCTCTCGATCGATGGAGTCACATGTCGCCTTCAGGTCGAGAAATACAGCTAGTGTTGTGCGTCGGTAAGTGTTCCTGTATTCCAGATACTATTTTGTTGCTTATCCAATTCCCTCGGGTTGGCTGTTTCCGGAGCTCCATTTGGACATCTAATGATTACAGAACCCAGAATCTTAGACACTATTTTCGTCAAGCTGATTCCTCTGTGGTTATCAAAAGATGACTTTTCACCTTCCTTGAAGACTGGGACAATCAGTGATTGAGACCAGTCAGAGAGGATCATGTCTGACTCCTATACACTAGCTAGCACTTCAGTTAACCTGACCAATAGTACTCGACCACTGTTCTTAACTATATCCTGTGCCAGTTTGTCTGGTTCCGACCTACCTCCTCGTTTCAGATGATTTACAGCTTTCTCGACTTCTGCAATGGTTGCAAGCTCTATCTCAATGTCCTATTCGGGATCTAACTGGACAGCGGTCAGCGCAATAGTAGCTAGATTCCGGTTGAACTGTTCCTCGAAGTGTTACGCCCATCATTTCAGACGTCTCTTCAGCGAGTCAATAACAGATCCATTCTTCTCCGCTCTAGTCTCATTAACCTCTAATCTTTTAGTCTCACTTTTCTTGATCAGCCTAAATAACCCCTCTTGTTACCTATCACTATTGACTTTTCTATCGCTTTAGCCCTTAATGTCTATCACTACTCAAGGTGATTGTGTTGAGTTGTTTCCTCTCCTGATTATGGTCTGAGCATGAAGGAATGTCATTTTTGCAGCAAACTGGGGGTGGCAACAAGTGTTTTCTTGATGACTGACGTCCTATCCCAATGACTTTTTAGCCAACTCCCTATGGAAAGCAGTCTTGGTATTATCATTGAGATCAGGTCGAAATGCTCTTGTTGCGGTCGTTTTTCTATATTCATTTAGTCACAGATGTGTATTTGAACCACGACGTGATGATTATTCAAACATATGCTCCAAAAGGTGAGGTAATCTTTTACACAACCTCTCTAACGATAACTGATGATAATATGGTTTGAGTTCATCGTAGACTTGAATTCGCTGGGTCCCACGTCAAACAGCCTCTTTTGTGCCAGAAATTCGTTTTGATAAGAAATAGATGGTTGTTCAAGTACATTTGTAGCAGGTAATGGCTATTATATGTTCATGTGGCTGGAATTTCAAAAGTGCCACCTAAGTCCCTTTCTGCTTGACTTAGCCAACCCACTTGTGCATTGAAATCACCTACAAGGACAACCACATTTGCCCATTTAGCTTTCAATAAGAGGGTAGACAATTTTCAGTAGAACTCATTCACCTCTTCATCTGAACTGCAGTCAGTGAGTGACTAGACAGAGGTTACGAAGAGACAACGGTGAGTCAAACTAGCTTTCGCAATTTTCAATGCATTATCCATTCAAACAGCTCACAGGTGACTGTTAAGTGTGAACCACCAGTCGTGTTGCACTTTCTGCCTGAATACTTAATGCCACACTTACACTTGCAAGACCATAAGAAACAGCTATCGAATCCCTAGAAAATTGAAGAGTGAATTTTGCAGACTCACAATATTGGCCGGTCTACGTTAAGTGGATGCTCGTACTTGGGTCCTGCATGCGTGTCTCTCAAACACAGTACATGACCATGGCCAGAGATGGAAACGTTTTAGCTAGCGAAGCTCATTGTCAAATTTAGCGGAGTGCTGACAGAGTTGTGAGGATGGTTGACATTTTTGGCTGACCACATTGTAAAAGGTTACTTCTTCTTGAGGTACAGGAAAAGTATATTAGATTATTAACAGTGGTGCATGATCACAGTGCCTGAAGAACACCTGCTCGAGGTCGGTAACATAAATTACTGAAAGTTTGAGATATAACCTTGGTTGTCTTAAAACCTACACCACCAGCACTGTAGGATAGAGGGAAGTCTACGCTTTGGGAAGCTGACTTTCCCATAACGAAGACAGCATGAATTGCTGGTCATCCATGGGAAGCACCTTACCGCTGTTACACCTCGTCTAACCAGCAGTAAGATCTCTCCCACGGAACACCATCATAGCGCAATAACTTGCGCTGATAGAACAACTGTTCTCAACAGTATAGCTCGTTAGGCCACTTTAATATGTGGGTGCGATCACTAAGCACGGGTAGCAGCTATGTTTCCAGAGATTAATAATTTAATTTCATCAGTAACAAAATAATGTATGGGGGTGGCAACTGAAGCTAGAAAAAACCAGAAGTAAGATAGGGAGTTGAACCAGTGGTAATCGGTCAACCAGTGTCAATGTGAGATCTGGTATTATTGAGTAATGATAGAAGTTGCCACACATCACATCAATAAATCAAGAAACACCATAGAGAAATGGAAGAAACGTAGTCAACTTGTCTGAAATGTATTATGCAAATACATAACACTTCTCAGGTGAACTCTGTCTACTTTTAACGTTATGCAAATTCATCAGACTGTAATGCAGTCGAAAGTTGAAAAAGCTATAGGAAGAGAAGAAAAGAGGATCAAGAAAAAAACTACGATATGCGATTTCGATGAAAATAATGTGTGCATGCATCTGTATCACTGCGATCCATTCTCAGTCATACTAACAACAGTCAACAACCATCGATTTCGGCTGTCATGAGGATCCTAACCTGAAAGTCTACAAAGCTCAAACTAACCGTCAAAGGTTTCATGAACTGATGAAAAGTTATAGCCTGATCATCTTGAACTTTCTTCCAGTTTTAGCCTAGTTTAGTAAGTGTTGTGTACCGCAAAGGCTGTGACTAGACATGTTTAACACATGTTTAAGCCATCTTCATCGATCGAAACTCACAACTTCATTAGCTCAGTTACTTGTTTTGCCTGAGACTCTACATTTAACCTTTGCAGTATTAAGCGGTGGCTTTATGATACTCAACCAATGCTTCTGAAAGTAACAGTGTCGAGCAATAAGAAGACTGCTGCTTTGAATCTGTCTGCGACCCAAGTTTTCCTGCGATTTCGGTTATAATCTTAAAGTAAGGTCAGTTTGTCAACCAAAACCAGTTGTAAAAGTCCAACTACCAATAATAGAATAAAATTAAAAATAAAGAAATTAGATAATTTATCTTACCGCGATAATTCATTACGTGTCAACAATCCATTACGATCATCATCTAGGAGTAAATAACTACCATAGACACGTTCAGCCGATTGCTGACTAAACCAGTTTGCAGCTAATTGCGCCTCTGATGTTGATGTTTCACGTAATTCTAGCATAGAGTCTAAAAATCCACTAGCTAATATATCAGTGATACGTACACGACCTGAACGTAAAGGATCCAGAAAGAAGAAGAATTTTCGTACAGCTGTACACACATAAAATGTCAGAAATGATGGCTCCAATTCGGATAACTAAAAAAGATTTTATTTTTAAAAAGAAAATATAGATATACCTGGTTTTTAAGGAATGATATTAAGTAAGAATATTATATAATGGTAAATACTGTGAAATTTTTATAAGTGTATATGAATGATATTTTGGTAACACTGCTTCCCTACAGTGGGACAAATATGGTGGGTAGTTTTGAAATCAGAGTGAAGCAGTCAGTGACACGTTGAATTTATGATGATTGAAATGATTGAGGCATGTATATCCACAAACTACTTCAAGGTGAGCTGTTTACCAGCGTGAAAGATAATCCTATGAAGCTATAAACTGTTCAAACAGAAAATAATAATCTAAGAAGCTAGCAATTTGTGTAGGTAACTAGAAACTTTCTAATTAGATCCTATAAGATCGTAGAAATCAATGGTGCATCCTGAAATCGGTGCTGATGGAGTAGATCTGTTTATTGAGCACTTAGCTACAAAATTCAAATATCTTCTAACCCGGTATCTATTAGTTCTTGTGCAAAAGTAGTCTTTACTTTAGTTCCCTTTTAATAATCGTTCCTTTTATTTTTCTTTTCATGCTGAATTGCATCGAAGTTTAACAAGTTGGATCACCATAGCACAGTACAGAACTTTCGTTCATTTCAATTGTTAAGTTACTATAATGACCCATAACTATTTTCAGACAGGAAGTCAACATACAGATAAGTTGGTAAATAATGCGTATTTGTTCAGTGAAGCATTCAGCAATTATTGAGATACATGTACCAGGTGATTGCGTCATTACCATATTGTTGGTTATTTCTACGGTGGTGACAATGAATAATACCGTGTATTTGTTGTTAAATTACCTGAATTAATCGTTTTGCTTGACTCATTTGTCTGGGTCTGCATTGAAATTGAACACAGAACTACAATTCTTGCAATTCTATGCGAATATGAGTTCACTCATTCAGTTGCGAAGACAAGTTTATAATTCTACTCCGAAAACAGTATAGTAGCCAGGTATAAAAATATAAACTTGTCATTAAATCACCCACTGATTAAGAAGAATAACAATGTTAAGTCAAACTCCCAGAATTAAATAAATGGTGTTATAATGCTGTTAGAAGATAGCCATTTAATCCCAACATTTATTTATTTGGAAAACAGATTGTTTACAGACAAACAGATACAAATCAACGCTGCGACAATTCACAGCAGCACAAAAAGGACAAGTGGATAAAAAAAGATTGATATCAGAGTAGACAACGGTGCAGGAGGGGGGGGGGGGGTAACAGAATTTAAGGATGAAGGTTAGTCAAAACATCCAAGATTAAAAAGATGTCAAAAAGTGAATACATCTGCGCCATTTTGACTGATTTTTAGCCATGTAACCAAGAGTTCTCAACCAATGGTTTATATCGTTTCGCGGACCCAGGTTAGGTAATCCTTACCTCCCCATATACCTAAAACCAGGACTTAGAGACTTCACGGACTGGTGCCAAGTCTTGGTCTGGCCACCCTAAAACCTCTTCCAACTTGATCCAACTTCTGCTAGCATTGCACGTCAAAGTAAGTGGTGTCTCGACGTACCTATCACGTCCAAGACTCAGTATAACATGGGTATCAAGAGAGACACCATACAAAATAATAAAGAAATAATAGCATAAAAAGTGGAGGAAAGACCGAAAACAAAAATAAAGATGGATTATTAGAGAAATGGTCCCAAAAATGCATACAAAGAAGCATTCACTACTTTTTTTTTACTTCTCAGTGATGCAGGAAAAAAACTGCAACATCACCAGTGATTACGATTCTGAGCCATCCCCTATCGTCTTAAGCCATTCAGCAGCACGACCGTTCGGAATCCATCCAAGGAGTCTTAAGATAACTACAAATGCTAATCCAGCAAGGCGCCCCATTATGCGATGGTTACCTGTCCTCGCTTCTTCCAACCAGTCCAAGAGCAAGCAAAAACAGTGAGCGATATGGGAACCGCTGGAGCAACATGAGTAATACACGTTCAAGTCAATGTGTCAACGTGACCGGTATCTAACATGCCCAAACACAGGTTGCCTGAGCCCATAATTGTTTACATGATGTTCCCATCGGATATGAAAAATCATACAGAGACAATGATGATCGAAAAACTGGGCAGTAATACTGCCATGTGAAATTGAACGACTTATCATTTTTTTGCGCTTGACCAAAGTGAGTAAATTCTACTCTTTCCAGTCAAATGAAAAATCATAGGAGATCTCTATATACGTCTATTAGCAGGATGTTCGATTTTTATAACAATCAAGAATGATTTAGCATTGATCCCAAGGATGTACCACCTGGAATGTGAGCATCTTAAGGCTGAATCTGAATTTTTTATGTATGTTTAAAAAATTCTTAAAATCAGGCATTGAAATCGCCCGAATGATGCTAAATAATGATATTTCCTTCCCATCATAATTAAAACAGACCTGTTTGCCCAAGTCTCTGTGGAGAACAAATTATTGGTACTTTTCAGCATCATGCTGTAAAGGTAGAAGACCTGGATACATATTTAAATATTTCTCACATTTTTGTCAGCATATTTTTATAAAAGTTTCACTTGTTTTCATGAAAGCTTGATATATAAAACGACATGCTTACCTTTGTTAAACCGTTTATCTGACAACAGAGGAGCAACAGTTCTGGGAAAGTTGATTGCCGTACAGAAGTGTCTTACTACTCTAACCTTATCAGTTCAATAGAGTGATGTTATCCGAGCTGCGATATTTTGTCATGGACTTCTCATTACCAGGCTTGGTGATATGGCACTAATCTCATAAAGAAGTAATGATGATGAAATGTCCACAATAAAATACTGTCATCACCACCTTGAACTAAAAATCTTTTCTATCTCAACATTGTCAGTACAGTTGACAATATAACTTAGCACCTTTATTGAGTGACTGACTCTTCAGTTGATCTTTCAGGAATTGTAGAAATGAAATTAAACTTACAATTAGTATGCTAGAAAAGTTTAGTAACCACGTAAAAGTAGAACTTACAACTTATTCAACTAGATTGTAATGAGCCAAACATGCAGGGGAATATTTACTTCTCTTGATTAAGATAGTTATTACGTTACCCAGTTTCGTAAAAACAAACACTCAGTAATCTTGTGCACATTCATGCAGTAGGCAATGAGCCACACTTATTGTGTGAGGGTTAGGATACTAACTGGGTGCCCAAACCTTGGTAAGTGGAACGGGGTTCGGACCCGTGACCTAATGGTTGACAGTTATTTCCCTAGACCACTGAGCCACAGCTCCCCTACCCAGTTACGTATATGTTTTGAACAGTGAGTATTTCTAACAATTCAAAAAGTATCACTCAACAGTGTTTCAACAAGATGGGTTTATTTCCTAATTTGTAAACACTGTGAAATCACCCTATGGTCAACGCTAGCTGGCAAATGATTCACACGATTCAAACATATACACATTCGAACGAAGTGAAAAAATAAAATACCTGACATAAAGTGGGGATCAGCTCTTGGATATAATTTTCTAGATCTGCTTCACGTAAATAGCCTTCACCACATACATCATAAAGTGATATGCCGACATGAGTTTGTTGTAACCAAACTTTTTTCATAACATAGTTGAAAAAGGCTAGAATATTGATCCGTGATAGAACCTCATCTTCCCGAAGCAACTTTGCAAATGTTGTTGCGGTAAAATATTGCCTAAAAACGGTTTATTTATACAATTCAATCAGTTTAATATGCACACAGAACACTGCAAAAATATCTAAAATAAAATTTCACACTACTAGCTCACAAAATTGATCAGTGCTACCACCATATCTGCAGTAAAATTAAGATAATTATAGTGGTTTCACAATAATGTACCCTAAAAAGAAAACTGTTTAGATAAAAAGAAAAATGCAAGTCAACCTAAAACATTTGTAGTGGTACCAATTTATTACCCACAACTATTTTATGAGGGCTTTCGATAATATCCGATAGCCAAGGTGGAAGTTGATGAAGTAGAAACTAAGTCTGTGATCCAGAGCCGTCTATGTGCTGTTCAACTGAATGAATTTATAAGAACTACGAAGGATCGTGCGACTAGCCAATGTCCATTTGTAATAGCCTATGCGCCCACCAACTGCAGTTCGGATGATGCAAAGGATGAATTCTAGCAAAAGCTGTCAATCTCGCTACTTAGAGCGAAATGTTCAGATAGCCATAAAGTAAGGAAAACTTAACGCGAAAGTAATAAACCTAAGCCAATTAAAAAGGCATCTTGAAGGTATGCCATGCTAACGAGATGACAACCGCGATTATCTGCTGCAATTTTATGATGAAAACCATTTGTTTCTGGCCAGCATTAACTTCAAGAGTAAGAAGAGACACTGACTCACATGGCGTCCGCCAACATCAAAACAACGATGGATGCAGATAGATCATATTGCTATACGCCATCATTGTACAGGGTCAGTGAAGGATTGCCACTCTTTCTAGAATACATTTTTGGACTCCGATCACGTGTCACTACGGAGGCGAGCATGCCTGAGCTTTACTGGGCGCACAGAAAAGACAGCAGAGAAGCCTATGTACATCCCACTGGAAAATGAGAAGAGTGGAAGAGTTAACGTAAAAGATAACTAAGAATATATCTGAACATGACATAAATACTCATCTTGAGGAAACCTGGAGTGATAATAAGTCTGCTGTAGAAACAGCAGTATACACAATTGGTAACATACACCAGAAGGTTACCAAAACATCAATGGATTTCCGCGAAGTCATCCAAACTGATTGATGAGACAAAACTGAGACCAACGGGCTCTGACCACAATAAAGAGCGAAGGCAACTAAAAAATAAACTGACTAACAGTCTTGAGATCGATCCCGAGCAATGGTGGGTAGCAAAAACGAGAGAGATAGAGAAGGCGTTAGCAGTATAACACTTGGCAACTATTTAGACTTAGTACGGATACAGACCAGAAAACGATAGTGAATGAAACAGTCACCGAAAAGGATGGAACACAGATAACTTCCCAAGACAAGTGGCTAGAAGGTAGGGAAAAACACTGAAGCACAATTCAAATAGGCTCCCAGCAAAGCTTCAGTTGTACAACATCAAGCCTGAACCTGCGTCGGTTGTAGATGTCTACCCTTCAACACTTTGAGGTTGAGAATAATATAAGAGTAAAACGTGAACACTGTGATAGAACTTAGTTCTATTTCAGTTGGTTTGTTAGATGTATCACACAGTAAGACAGTATTCCTTACTGGATTATGCTTCGCAGATGATTTAATGTTCATAGTCATAATCAATCATAGTTCATAACATCCTGGTATGACTATGGGACAATAAATTATGTCCGAAACGTAATCCAGTAAATAGTACTGTTTCACTGCACAATACACGTAATAAATCAAATAAAATGGAATACTGTACGAAACCTGAAACGATACAAAGCAGCAGGACCTGACAGTTTGCCATCTGCAGTTTGCAGGGATGGAGGTCCGAAATCGATAATTAGTTTGACGGAGGCACTAGGTAGAGTAAGAAAGTCAGAGGCAATGCCGTCAGACTCGTCTACTTCCTGAGACAACAACGGGGGAATCAATTTGATTAATATTGTGTCCAAGATCCTAGGATCCATAGTTATCCAATACCCAAACGGAGCTCGAGAATAGCAAGCCCGAAAAAACCAGGCAGCTTTCAGACCTGGATGAGAGAAAGTGAATTGACCGAATTTTCATCCTCCAACAGGTTCTGGAACACAGAAATTCTTACTGGCGGCCGACAGTTGATATACTCCGTGACCTGAAGGTAGGACTCCGCTCTGTCGACCATGAGGTGTTGCGACAGTGTCTCACTGTGAAACGAGGACCGAGAATGTACATAGTTCTCATCAAAGCTCTCTACTAGAACTCATGACACCGTGTATAGGCTAATGGAGAGTTGTCATCTGAATCGAAATCAACCAGTGGTGTCCACCAGTGATGCTCACTGTCACTGTTCCTAATCGACTTCATTGTCGGTGCATTAATGGACATAACCTTAGGTATTTCTGACTTCATAGGCATTGACCCACTCCCTGGAGGTTATCTGGTTGACTTCGAAAACGGAGATAATACTGTCCTGTTAGGTGAAGATCACAAAATACAGGGTCTTCTGAACGCATTGAGCAGAAATCGGCGAACATGGCGTGACGTTCGCACCTGTTATATGTGAGATGATGCTTCTGGACCAGTCTGCTTCAATTACTCTCAGTTCAATGATAGGGGATGAAGTAGTGGAATTTGTTGACCAGTCCACTTACTTGGGGAGTTGCATCCGACCAAATGGACTGGTTGCTGACGAAATCTCAGCTTGGATACAGAGGGCCTGTTTGACATTTATCAACTTGCGTCACCTGTGGCGCCGGTGATATGTCTAGATACCTATTGAAGGACGGGTACATTGCGCTGAAGTCCGTTCTTTTTATCCTTTTATACAGATGAGACATGGTTGTTAAAAATAGATGTGGAGTCACACAAGGGTCTTCGTGGTATTGCTCGCATTTGTCGGAATGATTGTGTGATAAATGTTAAGGTCAAGCAAAGGGTACTAGGGATGAAAGGCAAGTCGATTGATGAGGTTGTGAACCTTAGTCGATTGAAATGGCTCAGATATGTATTGCGAATACTGAGTCACCGCCTATTTCGATGTGCCATGGCAGCGGAAGTTGGATTAGGTTGGAAAAAGGTTAAGGGTGGACAGACCAAGACCTGGCCCCAGTCCATGAAGTCCCGGACTGTTAGTCTGAGCAGTGTTTGGAAATGTAGACTGCCTGGCTAGGCTGCCCGAGACGACAGGAATCATTGAGTGAGGACTCTTGGTGACATGGCTAAAAATCCGTCACAATGGTGTAGATGTATTCACTCATCGATATCTAAAGCGTGAATATTCACACCCAACCTTTGTCTTAGAATTGAATTCACGATTAAAACTTTATCTTCCTATACATATCTCTTGGTCTGTAGACTTATCCTTTGTATATTTCTGTGAAGTGTGGTAACTTGGAGCCATGCACCTAAGTGTATATTTCTACGTTTTTGTTGTCTGTCTGCGTTGCAGTTATGTAAGGGAAAATCAATGTCAGCTCATATACAGTATCTTCTCATACCAGATACACTTCCATAGTCAGTACTATTGTAATGCGTTTTTGTGATTCTTAGATTAGAAAATGTAAGTGAAATGAGGAATCAGCACCTTCAAAAGTACTTTGTAAGCTCGTAGAGAGAAGAAGCCCGGTCGATATACATTCGTTCCTGTTTCCGTTAAATATCAAGTGACGGTGGAGACCACAGTTTATGAAAATAAGTCTTGAAAGCATCTCTTCTAAACTTTAGAATGTTAAGCAATTGTGACTGCTGGCAATAGGGTACGTAAACTTCATACTTCTACACATCCTCAGTGGCATTCTTTCTTACTACATCCCAACTTTCCTCCAGCATTCCGCACATTATACATGCATTGTCTACAGCTTAGAGCTGTATATTCCGTCACTGTGTCCTTCACACACTGTGTACGATCCTTCAGAGGTCTACACTTACCGTTTCAATTACCTATCCCAAGATGGTTTTCTTAGATTACCAAAAAGCCTTTATTTTTAAATATGATGCAGAAATCAGAACGTATCATCTGCTGTTGTGTATCAACACGAGGGAATATGAACAACAAACAGTCAAAACTGAGTGGCCTTAACTTCATCATCTTTAACTCTCATACGTTAACATTTTAACTAGACCTCCTAATCTATTTTGGTCGTATACATTTTCTATGCATTTTGTGAAGTAGATTACCACTTACTGTGGACTGGTTGAACATACCTGTCTTCTCAAGGTGCGACGTAATACCGAGTGTGAAAATAGCAAGCCGGCGCAATAAGAGTAGACAGAAACATTGTTCTGGATTTTATTCAGTCATCTAATCATCAAACCAAAGAGGGAACTCCGGACCAAGTTATAATCAGTAACTGTTAGTGTCTACGGCTTGTGGAATTGCTTCCTTTTTGACTGGAACCGATCTAATGATAAAAATCGATGGTTGAAGGGGCAGAACAAAGAAACTTAAAACAGAAGCCTGGTGTGTGATTTTATTCACTGTAGCATGCTCTAACGACGTATATATGACTGCTAAATATCGCCCATTAACTATATGCAGGTTCGTATAGTGTGATAAGATCCACATTTATTGAGTGAACTACGCTACTACTCGATGTATGTTTTATATCCACATATGAACGAAGTAAATGTGATATCAATGGTTTAAACGCCCTACTTTCAGTCAATGAGTTCTGGTTTCAAACCTTTCCAATAAATCGAGGAAATAACAACCATAGTTTTTGAGACTCATTATCTAAGTACACGTTTTTTAGTTGTCATGTTGGAGAAAAAACATGTGAAGAAACAAATGTATCGACTTTTTAGATTCCACATAACTAGTGGCACAAGTATACACTGATAAAAGTAAAGGAGCTTTTTCTAAAATATTTTTGGGTACAACGTTCTGATTTTTGCATCATATTTAAAAATAAAGGCTTTTTGGTAATCTAGGAAAACCATCTTGGGATAGGTAATTGAAACGGTAAGTGTAGACCTCTGAAGGATCGTACACAGTGTGTGAAGGACACAGTGACGGAATATACAGCTCTAAGCTGTAGACAATGCATGTATAATGTGCGGAATGCTGGAGGAAAGTTGGGATGTAGTAAGAAAGAATGCCACTGAGGATGTGTAGAAGTATGAAGTTTACGTACCCTATTGCCAGCAGTCACAATTGCTTAACATTCTAAAGTTTAGAAGAGATGCTTTCAAGACTTATTTTCATAAACTGTGGTCTCCACCGTCACTTGATATTTAACGGAAACAGGAACGAATGTATATCGACCGGGCTTCTTCTCTCTACGAGCTTACAAAACACCGTTGTCATTCTACTTTTGTTTCCCAATCTGATAACTACAACAATAGTTATCATATAGACATATCGACTATGAGAAGCACTTTCCTCAAGTATCTAATATCTTAAAAATAAGATACTGTAGATGAGTTCACAGCAATTTTTCCCAACATAACGGCAAGTACGTTCATCGAAGTAACTCACTTCTGTACTCCCATCTAATTTTGCCACAGGAAGACTTCTTGAAAATAGTTTCCCGGATATCAGTTGGCTTACTGATAATTGAACTACAAGGTTGTACCTATATTAATCTATTACTGACTTCAGATCTTGGCTATCTGCACTAAAACGAGTATATTTGACAACACAGTAAGAAAAATACAGTTTCAACAATCCGCATATGTAAACATAAAAATGTACGGACCTGATTCTTTTAGTGAAAACAAAAAGCGTTCAACATGAACTTACTTAGCCTTAGGAGATGCTTCTTTTGATGCCTTACGAAAACTTTCGTAATTCATAAATTTTTCTCCGTTCACAGTAGGTGGGGAGTGAAACCGTTCCAAAAGATACCAGAATTCCTTTTTACCAAGAAAAAATGATTACATAATGGAAACGAAGCTACTTGTAGTTCACTGTTGCACAATAATCCCATACTTTTCCTCTCCAACAAAGCAGATCTAAGAATAATAGAACTTTATAAGATAGAACTACCTGGCATCTTCTCGTAATTTCGCCGGTAAAATTTCATGATCTTGCGGGACCTAGCCAAATAGTCAATATATCCTCAGTGTGCACTTACACGCTGGAAAAATTCAGGAATCCCAAGATTAGTTGATTCATAATCCTCAACCCCGCCCCACGCTTTGTAATAGTGCAGAAACAAATCATGACATGAATCTTCTAATGGAATAAAATTACCACTCAAAATACCAACAGACTATTAAACATCCTGCGACCAGATGATCAGAATGAATACACTTAGTGTGTATCGGACCTATAACAAACATCATGAATAAAAATTGATGTAAACTACAGTAATCTACCTAGATCTTCCAAAATTATACAAGATGAAACAGTAAATACAAAAAATACGTAAAGATAACATACAGGAAAAAAGATTTTATATAATAAAACGAAAACCTAACTTAGAAAAATTTGTGACAAAGCAATTTTCACTATTATCAGACGGCGAAACTAGAGTATATGGGGTAACGACTGTTATGCCTCGATTAGCACGCTAAGCACTTCGATATGCTGCTAGCAGTGCTCTTTTGAGACTAGAAGTAGTCCTATTGACCAGAACTGTTAATGATAGTTATAGACTAAGAGCTTAAGGGGAATGCAGGAGTCAAGACGAAATAAAGTGACACAGACAAAAGAAATAAATAAGATAAAGTAGAGCTATAGCAAGAAAATATTTTATGTGACGGAAAGCAGCTTGGCGGTTGATCAATACGAGGTGTTGATACCATGGAAGATATTTTCTGAAGAAAATGGACTGTGTTCACGAAAGTGGAATCCAAAAGATATTTACTTTATGCTAGCCACATGGTCTTTTGGCATTATGTACCAAAGAGTTGCATCTATGCTTCTAGAACCATAATACCAGTAACAGAAATCCAAACACTAAGGTAGAATGAGTAAGGTAGCATAGATAGAAATGCTGTTGGACGATGAAAACGACCAACTCCCACTAAGTCGTTATTCAACGAGGATAAAAACTTAAAGTTTGGACCCCATATCGATATAAATTATCGAACATACGGAGGCAAGTATTTTTAGTTTCAATGTTGTGCAGAAGACCTTTTTGGCACCAAAGAACCTCATGAAACAACCTTTAAAAACTGTAAATTTTTATTAGGTTGTTATCATAAACAGTACATCAAATAAAACCATACGAATAGCTGTTAGAAGCAGAAAGATAAAGTAAAGCTCAAGAGGGGAAAAAAAAGAGAATAAATATGTGAGAACTAATATGATTTTTTTAATTTTGATGATGCCAAAGCGATTGAATGTTCAATCGTCGGTCTCCAACAACTTAGACTCAGATAACAAACGTATTTCCATGAAATACATAGAAACTTGTCAAACACATGAACGGTAATGCGTCGGGTTAAGAGCCGAATCTACTGTAACAAGGTTGACAGCGCTATTTGGAACAGGAATTGAAACTGTAACTCGGTGGTTAACAATCAAACATTTGGGCCGCTGAATTTCAGCCTCACAGGTTTCTGAGGTTTCAGTTAGTGAACAAATTAACAAAATACCTCGTCAACAAGTATTTTACTTAACTTAAACCTCACTGAGGCATCTCATACCACTCAGATTTCTTTTAGTCAAAACATTTAGCTACGAAAACCAAGTTGTGAGGAGACACCCAAAGGAATAGTAATCCCATGCAAATCAGAAACTGCAAAGTTTTATGAACTAGATTACTAATAATTCTGTTGATGGCATTAAGATACTATTCCCTTTTCTACAAATAAGTAGATAGAATGAGGTCCGCACCCTAGGCTCATTGCCTGAAATTCAAGTGCTTGAATAAATTATCCACATCTCCAACTGCAGACGACACACACAAAGAGTTAGGATGTAGTAAGTTGAAACTGAGCGTTTTACGAATTCCAGCATTCAACTCTTCGAACGTTTTTACTGGAATTGATTTAAACAGCTTAGTAGAGATATACATGTTCTACAACCCGACCGATAGCTATCTTGACGTGGTGCTAGGACTTGTATATCACAATGACCCAACGAGCTACACTGGCTGGAACGCTTGTTCCCTGGAGGTCCTATCATGCCAAAAAGATCTATTGGATAGTAGCAAGACAAGGAGCAGTTGCCCTTGTAGTGTAGTCTGAGGACGAAGTCGTGTTGCTATTAGTTGGATGGGATGTGGCAGCAGTAGGGTGTTTCCTTTGAATGAGTAGCAGTGTCACGCTGATGGTGCCTTCTCTCGGGGACTAAAAACGTCGGCCCCAAAAACAGAACACCCTTTCCTGCTACACGGTCTTCCGGTGCAGGAGGTATGGGTTTTCTCTATTCGGCGTTAGAACAACCAAACCTGAAAACAACCTGAAAAAGACCGCGTGACAACCTCCGGCAGACGTCCCATGGGCAGCCGTGAAGTGTCAATCGCCAAGCATGCTTACAGTAGTACACAGGACCCAATGAAACATAACCTATCCCCCTCAACTCTGTCTCTTTTGCCTTCACTTCCTGGTGCTGATATTAGGCTTCTTATGCCTTCCCCAACCTCTCACTCTGTAACCATTGACGACGATTAAAGCCGCCAGGACCTCATTCTCCATATCCTAAAACCCCGCCGTCGACTTCATGTAGTAGCTTTTACAGTCCACACTCTATGCCAAATCGGAAAACAAGCATCGCTTGCCGGAACTCTGGAATTTCGAGCCATGGGTGTATGCTGCGTCTCTGAGACTCGTATACAGGATCCGAGTGTGGTTATTAAACTTATCTCACCTGGCCGTAGTAGTGAATCTTCGAGTATCCAGAGACCTAGTGGCCAGCTCTCGTGGACTCGCCAGTGTAGGGGCAGCATTGAGCTATAGGCCAAGAAGTGAACTTCTCGACTGAATACCAGTCAACAGCCGTTTATATGCTGTTCGACTGAATGGATCCGTAAGGGTTAGGAAGGATTGTGAGACAAGGCGATACATACTTGTCAATGTCTGCGCCTTACTGGTCGCAGGAGACAGATGATAGTATAGCCTGTCTATTCTCCATTGGAAGACGAGGATGCAAAGTATGCATTCAGGGAAAAGTTAGCTAAGCATTTAACTGAACATGACACAAATCCGCACCCTGAGGAAACCTGGTGTGATACTAAGTCTGCTGTAGAACCAGTGGTACACACAGTTAGTAGCACACCGGAAGGTTACCAAACGTCATTAGATTTCCGCGAAGTCATCCAAACTGATTGATGCGAGAAGACTGGTTCCAGCAGGCTCTGATCACGACGAAAAGCTAAAGCAGCTCAAATGGGAGTTGACAAACAGTCTTCGCGTCGATTGCGAGCAGTGGTGGGTGGCAAAAACGAGGGAGACGGAGAAGGCGTTAGCGTTGTGTAACACTCGGCAACTGTTTGGGGCTTATTAGGGATACCGACGAGAAAAAGACATCTACCCATCCAAATCAACATAGGACCAGGCATTACTGTGTAACAGTCTGAGTTGCTACAGCCCATATCAAAACATGAATTAAAAAGCAGTGAAGTGGAAGATGAAGAAAAGAAAACTCAGTCAACAGAAATATAAAGTACTGAACGAGAGGAAGGAAGAATGAGAAAATGGTGCGATTCAGTATAAAGTTAAGATGAGGATAATGTGTGTTTACACCTGCGCCACTGATATCGGTTCTCAGCCACATCGCCTAGAGTCTCCAACCACTGACTTCTTTTGTTCCGCGGACCCCAACCACCTAGTCCGCATCGTCCTACATGGCCCAAACCAACAGTCAAAGACTTCATAAATTGATGCCATGTTTTAGTCTGGCCGCCCCGACCCTTTTTCCAGTTCGAACCTACTTCGGCCAACATTGTACGATGAGACAGACGGTGACTAGGCATACGTAGTACGTGTCCCAACCATCTCAGTCGATGAAGGTTGACAACTATGTCAACTGACTTACCTCTTCTCCCTAAAACCTATACCTGACTTCTGCGTTACTCATGTGGTGACACCACGAAATACGGCCTACACTATGAAGGCAACGGTGGTCAAACACCTGAACCCTTCTCATGTATTCCACCTTCAATGGCCATGTTTCACAGCCATACAGTAGAACAGAGCGGACTGCCATGCAGTTTACGCGACCCTTAATAGACAATCGGATATCACGGTGGCATAAGTTGGCAAAAGCCAACCGAGCCTTTTGTATGTGTGCAGAGATTTCATCGGCCATTGGGCCACCAGAGCTGGTCCCACTTCCCAGGTAAGTGAAGTGGTCGACACACTCAACCACTACACTCTCTACTGTTAGCCATGGCACCGTTGAAGACCAATCCTGGAGCAACAATTTGCATTTGGATGATGAGAAACGCATCCCAAACATTCTCAAATTGCTACTCAAAGTGTCCAGAAGATTTCGCATCTTGGCAAAGTCTTTACTTAACAGGACTATGTCATTTGCGTATTCTAGGTCTGACGAAAATTCTCCTGCGATCAGGTTAACCTCTGTGTAGTCAGGTGACGAGAGGGAGACCTCCATAAGAATATCTATGATAAAAGCGAATAAGAATGGAGACAGTGCGCGGTCTTAACGGACACCACTCGACGAGTACAGCTTACCGGATATCTCACCATAGGCTCTAACACACCCGCAAGTGTTCGAATAAATAGCCTTCAATAAGGTGATGTACTTAGTCGGCACGCCTTTCGGTGAGAGATTGCCATAAGACTTCTCGATCAACGGAGTCGAATCCCGCCGCCTTCAGGTCGAGAAATACAACTATTATTGGGTGTCGGTAACCGTGCGTGTGTTCCAGAGTCTGGGGCAGTGTGAATATTTGGTCAATACACCCGCAGACGGGTCTAAAGACTGCCTGGTTTTCTCGGGCTTGCTTTTCCCTAACTCCACTCAGGCGTTGAAGTATTATGGAACCTAGAATCTTAGACACTATGTTCGTCAGGCCGATTCCAGTGTGGTTGTCACAAGAGGAATTCTTGCCTTTCTTGAAGACTAGAATTACCAGTGATTTAGACCAGTCAGAGGGGATCGTATTTGATTCCCATATACTGGTTAACACTTCCGTTAACTTGACTAAGAGCACTCTACCACCATCCTTGTATACTTCAGGAGTTAGTCCGTCTGGTCCTGCTGCACTTCCTCGTTTCAAGTTACCTACAACTTTCTCGACTTCTGCAAGTGTTGGGGAGTCTGTCTCAGTGCTTCATTCAGGCTCCGACAGGATAGCGGGCAACGCAATGGTGGCTGGAGACCAGTTAAGCTATTCCTAGAAGTGTTCCACACATAGTTCTAGTCGTCTCTCCTGTGAGTGAATGGCAGGCCTGTCCTTCTCCGGTATAGTTTCATTAACCGTTGTTGACCTTCCTCCTCCCTTCCCAAGTTTCCTTGATAAGTCTAAATAACCATCTACCGTTACTAATAGCCGCTACCTTTTCCATCTCTTTAAACTTTGCTTCCCATTACTGTTCGCGATCATTGTGCAGACATTTTCTCAACCTACTTTGAAGTTATGTTCGCTCTTTCTTGTACTCAGAGTCTGCAGGGATGCGTTCACGTGCATCCATTAGTTCGGAAGAAGCTTCTGATACCCACTGGCTCTTTTTAGCCACTATTTTGGAGTCAGTTACAGTCTTCAACGCAGCTTTTACAGCAGACTGAAGACGGCACCATGCTTCTTCTGGATGACTGACAGTCTTTTGTTCCAATAACTGTCTAGCCAACTTCTCACTGAACACAGCTTAGGTGTTTCCGTTGTCCAGCAGCACTCGTAGTGGTTTTGTTGCCTAATTTTTCTTACATACATTGAGACGCAGACACATACATGCTCGGACCAACGCATGATCGTTGTCCGAATACGTACTCCATAAGGAGCAGCAGTCTTCCACTGATCCTCTCCAGCGATGACTGATAGCAATGCGGTTTATCTGTGTCCATTGCTGAGTTGAGCTCGGTGGACGCCACGTCAGACAGTGTCTTTCTTTATGTCTGAAATTTGTGCCAGCTAAAAATAAGCGGTTATCTAAGCACAGTTGTAGTAGGCAATCACTGTTATCTGTTCCTTGAACCGGAAAACCGAAAATGCCACCTGAGTGTCTTTCTGTCTCACTCAGTCTACCCACCTATGCATTGAGATCTCTTGCAACAACCACCACGTCTGAACGTTTGGCTTTCGAGAGGAGGTTAGACAGTTTACGGTAGAACTGGTCCTCCACTTCATCCGAACTGCAGTCAGTAGGTGTGTAAGCACAAATTGTAAACAGACAATGGCGAGTTTCACTATTCCTTTTAATTCTCACTGTGACGTTCAGGAAGAGAACGCAGAGGCGACTATCAACTGGGATCCAGTCTAGTAGTATGTTTTCTGCCCTAGTGCTTAATGCTATGCCTACACCTCGAAGTGTGAATTTTGTGGATTCACCAAATTGGTCGGGAGAGGTCAGGTGAATGACCGCACTTGGGTCCTGTATGTGAGTCTCACAAACACAGCACACATCCATGGTCCGAGTTGCTACAGTCTTGGCCAATGAAGGCTGTTAACCAACTTGATGGTGGACGCGGACATCGAAGGCCCCAATGTGTAATTTGGAGCGTAGTTTGAGGAGACCACGGATGCACTTCTGTGGATTCAGATCGTTGTCGAAGGCTACACAGCTAGAAGAAATTGCAGATGATATAGTATCGTTAATTGAGAGACGTGAAGGAAGATTAGAAGGTAATGATGAGGAAGGTGGATAGCAGTCTGAAGAAACTCAAATGTTGACAGGGTTGTGAGGGCAGTTGACACTTCCTGTCTGGCCACACCGTGTAAAGCTATTTCTTCTTAAGATACCTGAAAGAGATTTCTGTGACCGCAGAGTCCATCGGACATCTGCTTGAGGCCTGTCACACGCAGCCTTTTGTTGCATGATTATTCTAAACTTTTGTTGTTTGGGGGCCAGTTGGTCGAAAGGAAACGACAAATGAACCAACGCCGCCGGCCCGGTAGACCGTGGGGTATGGTAGTGTGTTGTTTTTGAGGCTCCCCTTCCACTGAGAAGGCAGCATCAGCATGGCACTGCTAGTTATACCGCTGTCACACCCCATCCAGTTAGCAGCAACACGACTTTGGCCTCACACCCCCATCGCAGTCTAACCGCTAGTCAACAGACCTTTCTGGCATGGTAGGACCTTGAGGGAACAAGTGTTCCACCAGGATAGCTCGTTGGGTCGTCGTGATATGCAAGCCGAAACAATACGTCAAGGTAAGAGCAGTCAGTCAGGGCGAGAAGTAGACTGTGGTTAGTGAAAGCATAAACAAAAGGACGGAACACAGATAACTTCCCAAGACAAGTGGCTAGAAGGTAGGGAAAAACACTGAAGCACAATTCAAATAGGCTCCCAGCAAAGCTTCAGTTGTACAACATCAAGCCTGAACCTGCGTCGGTTGTAGATGTCTACCCTTCAACACTTTGAGGTTGAGAATAATATAAGAGTAAAACGTGAACACTGTGATAGAACTTAGTTCTATTTCAGTTGGTTTGTTAGATGTATCACACAGTAAGACAGTATTCCTTACTGGATTATGCTTCGCAGATGATTTAATGTTCATAGTCATAATCAATCATAGTTCATAACATCCTGGTATGACTATGGGACAATAAATTATGTCCGAAACGTAATCCAGTAAATAGTACTGTTTCACTGCACAATACACGTAATAAATCAAATAAAATGGAATACTGTACGAAACCTGAAACGATACAAAGCAGCAGGACCTGACAGTTTGCCATCTGCAGTTTGCAGGGATGGAGGTCCGAAATCGATAATTAGTTTGACGGAGGCACTAGGTAGAGTAAGAAATCAGAGGCAATGCCGTCAGACTCGTCTACTTCCTGAGACAACAACGGGGGAATCAATTTGATTAATATTGTGTCCAAGATCCTAGGATCCATAGTTATCCAATACCCAAACGGAGCTCGAGAATAGCAAGCCCGAAAAAACCAGGCAGCTTTCAGACCTGGATGAGAGAAAGTGAATTGACCGAATTTTCATCCTCCAACAGGTTCTGGAACACAGAAATTCTTACTGGCAGCCGACAGTTGATATACTCCGTGACCTGAAGGTAGGACTCCGCTCTGTCGACCATGAGGTGTTGCGACAGTGTCTCACTGTGAAACGAGGACCGAGAATGTACATAATGCTCATCAAAGCTCTCTACTAGAACTCATGACACCGTGTATAGGCTAATGGAGAGTTGTCATCTGAATCGAAATCGACCACCTGGCCTGGCACCTGATGTCTCCGAATGGTTTTCTAAGTGCATGCTCAACCCATCTCCAATTTTTTCTGCATATTTGTTGGGCGATAGGTTGTTGGTTGCTTTGTTGCCAGTCACAGTTCCATGTTGCTTATTGTTTCTGGCCATCTGACCTTCAGTATCGAGTGAACGTAGGCGCTAGCTGTTGATGAATGTCTGCAGTTTGTTGGAAATGCTTTTTGTGACGCACCAAGTTTCTGAACCATCACACAGAAGCACTGACTTACTTGACTGACATTGTTGTTCAAAATCCGGATGTTGTTCACGCTTTATCCTTAGTGCAGTAGATCTCCATACTGGTTTCAGATTAATGAAGGCCTGTCTTGCTTTTCCGATCCCGGCTTTGCCGTCCTCATCTGTGCCACCTGTAATTGAAACGATGCTATCCTGCCTAGGTAGGTGAAAGAGACAACTTCCTGTAGATTTTCCCCGTCGATGGCCTCTGGTGCTCGTTATTGTTGTTGTTTGGGTATCTTCATCACCTCTGTCTTTACGTTCAGCTGAAAGGTGTCCCGTCTTCGCTGCCTTACCTCTTCTGTCGACTTGTTGGCTTTTGCCTGTAGATTTTTGGGTTTGTGCGACATTAGACTTAAATCATCGGTGAAATTCATGTCATGATGGAATGAAATCGTTGGAGAAAAGGCCGAAAATGGGGGATCGGTAGGCTTGATGTGTTCTATAATACCACTCCCCCAGGCTTATGAAAAGACAAATGAAGACGTACCAGTATTCATCGCAAAGTATCTAGTAAGCACACGGTAGCCCAGTTCTTCAGGAAGCATCACAGAGACAGAATACACTATTCACCAGACCACAAATGTATATTTCCATGTGCTTGTGTCTTTGGGGTTCACACATTTATAAATCTATTCCCTTTTATACATGGTTTCTGGGAATTCGATATTGTTAAGTGTTGTGTTTGTGGTCAGGCACACAAGGAGACTGTTGTACGCTGTGTAGTGAGGTGCTATAGGAAGTAGCCGTACTGTTTGTGATATGCAACTGCCTAAATTTACGGGGAAAAAGTTCGGGTACACTTTGAAACTTGGCAATTTCGTGGAGAAGGTTCCGGTTTCCATCGACATTTGCGTCCCTAAATGCCCCCTAATGATTTGCTGGGGTTTCGCCGAAAGTACATGACAGCTGGGTCTTTTTGACTGGAGATTGAGGACTAAGGAGATCAAAAAGATGACTAGGTTCTCAGACATTTCAAAGAAAAAGGAAACCTGGATTGTACCGATTTTTGTCAAGCAACCATAACAGCCCTTCCAGAAAATATTTTGAGCTTTCCGCTCAGTTTGCAAACCCTGAAATTTCTGGGTACATAACAGAAGTGCATCAATATTCGCAAAGATGACATAAATTCTACCTAGAAATTAACAAAACGCTAAGCAATTTACCGAAGAATTACAAAAATTGTTAGTTCCGCCCAAGATATCTAGTGTCGACAGTACACTCAGAGTTCGCGAAATAGTGCATATAGACTCCCACAATAAAGTGTATGCGACAAACGTTTACGCCTTCGGATGCTTAATTAAAGAACACTAGCAAAAAAAAAAAAATGTGTAACAGTCTAGTGGCATCCCAAAGAGTAAGATTTCGCGAAATATAATTAATTTCAGGGATGCAACCAAAAGTTTCGAAGTGTGCACAAATATGACTTCGTGAAATACCCCGAAGTTGTCCAGTCCAGGCAAATTGTTTGCCAACTGGTGGGTAGTTCCTGAGAGGAATTCGAAGCGTCACTGTTTAGTCTTAGGTATATTTGTAAAAATCGTAAGTTCTTGGACTTTCTAGTTTGAAAATAGCTTGCATACTTTGGAGCTTATAATCACTTAATAAATGATTCTTATAGCAACGAAAGACCAAGGTTGATCACATGCACACTGTTACTTCGAAGTCTATTCATATTCTTCGGGAAACTACTACACACCGAAGGAACTGTAATCATTTCGTACTTACGGATTTTTGAGTTACGCACAGTAGTTAAAACGACCTTATAATTGTAACGTCATAATTGACTGACTGATATTGACCAGGATATACAGTACTTTCATTAACATTTCAGGCTACACAAATGTATCATTTATGCTTCTGTTAATAAAAGGTGTTGATCACTTAGCCTATAGGCACTCTGTTGCAAGATAGTGCATAGAAGAGTATGAGGTTATTGGTGACCATGTAGCGTCACACACTCCCCCAAAATCAATAGCCTAGGGTTTGACGACTCTCGATATCGATGCTGACCTTGTTAGTTTAACTGGACTCGCTAAGCTGAAGGCACCCGGTCAAGCATCCTCGCCATTTGGCACGCTGTCGTGTTATGTTGCATTGCTCGTATTCGACTCTCTAGCCAGTTAGTTGGAACGCATCGGTATTTTGGCACAACCATCCAAATATACTATTCCATCCGACTACGCTATCGTGTTCTTCCTTGGTCTCGTATTCGTGGGTATATAACAATTCCGAATAATTAGTGATTGGTCTTTGCGTCTGTCAAGTTCGCACCAGGACAAATCCTAAATTGGTGAGCCCGATGTGATCACATGTCCCGACCAATAACAAATATTGAATTGGTGAGCCTGTTCCATTTTATATTTGTTTGTTGTTTTCACTTCGATAACATTTATATATCCATTTACTGCACTTTCTCATGTCCGACCACACTCCCAAGCTTATTCGTATTAAGCCGACTTCGAACACGATCCAACTCGTGCCATATTGGCCAGACAATGCAGAAACATGGTTTCTGTATGCCGAGGCAGATTTTCGAGAACAGGGTGTCTCAGATCCTCATTCCATATTTCTTTCTCTCATACGGTCACTGCCGCGGGAATTGAATAGACATGTTACGGCACACATGTTTAATCCTGAAGTAAGTGATCCTTATGCACTTCTAAAGGCCACACTCTTGAAGAAAAGCGATCTCACAGATAGCCAGCGCCTAGACGAATTACTTCGTAACATCGAGCTAGGCAGCCACTCAGCTACTGAAGTCCTCGCACGCATGCGAGAAGTTCTTGGCGCACGAGTATTCGACGATGGCCTTTTCCGAGAACTATTTCTCTCAAAACTACCACAACCGGTGCAAACCGTGTTGGCGACACTGCAGTCAGTCCCACTCGATGGCCTGGCAGCCTCGGCAGATAAAATACTGGAGATTTCTAGCAGGCCCATCTTCGACATATATTCTGTCTGCGACAAACCAGAGAGTCAGGATTTAGAGGTGACCAAGCAGTGCAACTCTGTTAAACAGTTGCTACGATCTCGAAGTACTAGTTCACGTGGGACGTCACAGAAACGCGTCTTAGTGCACCGCAGCAACTCGCGTGGTAGCCCTAAAACGAAACCTAGCAGAGTGGAAAACCCTGAATGGTGCTGGTTCCATAATGCCTACGGAGACGAATCCAGAAAATGTTGTAAACCATGCCGTTTTAAGAAGGACACAAACTCGGAAACGGTCACGCTGGCACATGTTCACGGCAGCCGTGGCCGGCGGAAACGGCCGTTTGCTCTACGTCACCGACATCAAAACGAGGGTCCGCTACCTCGTCGACACCGGCGCAGAAGTTAGCGTTCTTCCAGCAACGACAAAGCAGCGTCATCACGACCCATCCTTCAATCTTCAAGCAGCCAACGGCAAGTCAGTCGCGACATTCGGTAGGCAGTATGCCTACCTCAAACCTCGCCTGGTTAACTAGTTTACTAGTTACTAGCCGGTCCTAAGCCCGGGTAAAGAGGGAAGGTTGGGCATAGGGCTAGCAACCCTACCCCGTAAAACAAATCTAACCGCTAAACAAACTTCAAAGCACAAACAAAATATAAAAAATGAAAACAAACTTATTCCCCGCTGGAGTCGGAGAGGCGAAATGACGCCAGTTGGTGAAAGCCTTCGGGAAGCCAATTGGCCGATGCGTCTTCTCTCCCTCGATGAAAGCGAAAGTAAACGTGTGGACATGGAATGTCCACACCATGTTTGAACCCAGTAAGGCAGCCCAGATTGCAAAGGAGATGAGAAGGTATCACATCGAAGTGTTTGGGATTTGCGAAAGCAGATGGAATGGGAGTGGACTCTCCAAACTGTCAACTGGAGAATCAATAATCTACTCCGGTCACCCAGACGCCAACCACGAGCACACAGAGTTATGGAGTGGCTATCATGATGTCCCCAAGAGCATCGAAGGCTCTCATGCAGTGGGAAGGAATCTCCTCCGGGATCATGACAGCAAGATTTAACTCAAAAGGAAGGAAGGTCACAATCATACAATGTTATGCACCTACAAATAATGCAGAGCAAGAGAAAAAGGAGGAATTCTACTGACAACTTCAATCAACACTAGACAAGACGTTAGTTGGCGATATCAATATTCTAATGGGCGACATGAATGCGAAACTGGGAGGGGACAACACGGGAAGAGAACTAACCATGGGTCGAGAAGCGCTTTGTGAGGTGATGAAGGAGAGTGGAGAATTGTTTGCAGAATTCTGCGCATTCAACGATTTGGTGATTGGAGGCAGTGTGTTCAGGCACAAAGATATCCACAAAGCGACATGGATTTCACCAGATGGACACACTAAAAATCAAACCGACTTTATCTCAATCTCAAGAAAATGGAGACGCAGTCAGCCTACTTAACACAAGGTCAAGAAGAGGAGCAGATGTAGGTTCAGACCACTATCTAGTGCAAGGAACCCACCTTCCAAATCAAGTTAAAAGCCTTCAAGGAAGCTGGTGATAGATCTCAATTCAAGTACAACACTCGGAACACAAACTGAAGGATGAAACTACAAAGGAGATCTTCAAGGCAGCCATCAAGACAAAATGGGAGATATCGAGGAACATCCCTGAAGAAACCTGTGTGAAAGAACCCTGGAACTCTTTGAAAGCTATGTGGAAAGAAACCTGCACAACAGTATTAGGAAGGAAGAAGACAAGGAATGGATCTCGACGGATACCTGGAAGCTGATAGAGGAGAGGAGGATGGTGAAGCAGAAGATAAACCAGTGCAAGGATGAACGACGAGGAGAGGAACTGAATACAGTGGTATAAAACACTGGATAAAGAAGTGAAGAAGAGTGCACGGAAAGACAAAAGACACTTCTGCGAAACACTGGCAAGTGAAGCAGAACAGGCCGCAGGTAGGAGAGATAGAGACCTGACAACATTGTATCAAATAACCAGGTTGCTATCAGGGAAGGGACCAACACAGATGAAACCAATAAAAGATGAAGAAGGAAATTTAATTACAAAAGAAGAGAAACAGAGGAAACGATGGGCCGACCACTTCAAGAAGCTCTTGAATCGACCACCACCTGCACTTCGTCCAGAAATACCACCTGCAGCCACAGAACTACAAGTGAACATTAATCCCCCAACGAAAATGGAAGTCCTGAACGTCATAAAGCTACTGAAATGCAGGAAAGCAGCAGGACCAGATGGAATACCGCCAGAAGCACTGAGAAAAGATGCAGAGACAACAGCGGACATGCTCACACCACTATTGCAGAAGGTATAGAAGGAAGAGAAGGTACCCGACGATTGGAAGAAGGGTTACCTTGTCAAACTGCCGAAGAAAGGAGACCTCAGTGCTTGCAAGAACTGGCGCGGAATCACTCTCCTGTCCACCCCAAGTAAAATATTAAGCCGCATCATCCTGGATAGGCTTAAAGACGCACTGGATTCAAAACTGCGACCGGAACAGGCAGGCTTCAGGAAGTACAAATCATGTGCAGACCAAATTGTAACGCTTCGCATCATCATAGAACAGAGTATAGAATGGCAATCAGCTCTCTACCTCAACTTTATCGACTTTGAGAAGGCCTTTGACAGCGTCGACCGAGAGGCAATTCGGAAACTGCTTCATTACTACGGTGTACCGCCAACCCTTCTCCGCCTCATTCAACAACTATATGAAGATGCCACATGCCAGCCAAATAATTCACAATGGGAAGCTCAGTGATGCTTTTAAAGTGAAGACAGGAGTGAAACAAGGTTGCCTACTATCACCCATGATATTCCTGATAGTGGTCGACTCGACTGGATCATGCAGCAAACAGTAGGCAGCGAGAAGAGGGGGATACGCTGGACTGCGGAAAAGAACCTAGAAGATCTGGATTTCGCCAGTGATGACTTGAGCCTGATGTCACACAAACTTGAAGATCTGCAGGCAAAAACTAACAAGTTGATAGAAGAGGCAGCTAAGACGGGACTTCAGGTGAATATAGAGAAGACAGAAGTGATGAAGATACCGCACCACCACCATCAACAACAACAACAAACTCCAATCACCGTCAACGGGAGAAACTTGAAGGAAGTAACCTCCTTCACTTATCTAGGAAGCACTGTTTCAACTACAGGCGGGACGGACGAGGACGTCAAAGTCAGAATCGGAAAAGCAAGACAGGCCTTCATTAGCCTGAAACCAGTGTGGAGATCTTCTGCACTCAGCATGCGGAACAAGATACGTATTTTCAACACCAACGTCAAGTCAGTGCTCTTGTATGGCTCAGAGACTTGGCGCGTCACGAAAGGTATTTCCAATAAACTACAGACATTCATCAACAACTGCTTACGCTCGCTGCTGAAGATCAGATGGCCAGAAAAAATAAGCAACAAGGAGCTCCGGGAACGAACCAACGAAGCAAGAAGCTGTCGCTCAACAAATATGCAGGAGGAAGTGGAGATGGATTGGCCATGCACTGAGAAGGCCGACTGAGGACATCACGCGTCAGGCCCTCGAGTGGAATCCTCATGGGAAGCGACGAGTTGGGTGTCCCAGCTGAGGGTGACATGGAGGAGGTCGTGCGAGGAGGAAATGAGAGCTTGTGGGCTGTCGTGGGACCAGGTTCAAAAGATCTCAGAGAACAGAGGTCACTGGAGACGTGCTACTGAAGCCCTATGTTCCACTAGGAACCCGAGGGACTAATAATAATAATAATAATAATAATAATAATAATAATAGTAATAATGCCTACCTCAGCTCAGGTTTACGTAGACCTATCCACCGGATCTTCCTCCTTGCTGACGTTTCTATGCCCATCATTGG